TACAAAGTTTGAATGGTGTCCCTTATGTCATCACACCACTGAGAGAAATGTAAGATATATTTTTGAAGATCTATTAGGTAAGAAATTTCCATCATGTAAACTGTCATTTTTGAATGAGATGTAATTAGATAGGTATAATGAAGAATTAAAATTAGCATTCAAATTCCAGAGTGTTCAACACTACTATCGCAATAGTTTATATCACAAAAATCAAGATGATCTAGATAATCAAAGAAAGCATGATCAAAAAAAGTGGGATATATGCAAAGAGCGAGATATAGATCTCATTGAAATTCCTTACTCTGCTGATTTATATGAATTTATTCAAAACATTTTAATTGAGAAAGGTTATTTACAAGATAAAAATTAAATCTGTAAGTGCTTATCTTAGATGTGAATAAAGGTAAAACTCTAAATACTTATCTCGTTTGATTAATATTTTTCAGATATAATAATTAGTGACTTATCTGATCAGAATGAAAATAGAAAAGCTTGATCCTGTTAAAAGGATGGTTTTGAATATTGACGAATACAAAAATATAGAGAGATTTAATGGTCTTAATAATACATCTCAATGGCCATTCAATTTATTAATCAATGGATGAACAAGATCAGGAAAAACTAATGAAGTTATCAACCTTTTACTTGGAAATAAAATGTATTGATTGTTTAGTGGGAAAAAAGGCAGAACGAGATATATTAAAAATGATGATTTGGTTTTGATTGGTCATCAAATTAATGAGCCCAAGTATAAATATCTCCAAGATTGTTATAAAATAATTGCAAATAGCCCCAAACCACATCATAAAGATGTTATATTCCGAGTAATGAAACCTAATAAAATACCAAAGATTGATAACTTTTCTTCTGAGAGAGGAACAGTAATTGTATTTGAAGATGTATGTACCGAACCTAAAAAAATCCAGAAAAAAATTACATGTTATTTTACTGAAGGGAAGCATCATAATATTTCTAGCATATACATAACACAATTTTTCTTTGACTGTCCCAAATTAATAAGAAACAATCTCAATTATATAGTTCTCTTTAATGGTAGTGATACATAAGATGAGCTGATTAATATCATCTGACAATATACAAAAAAATGGTATGATATTATCAACATACTTGATAAAAATTTGTAAGGTAGAGATTTTATTGTTATCAATTTAACTAGAGTAAAAGAAGACCCTCTATATCTTCACAAAGGATGGGACCAACCTCTTAATCTTTCTAATGAGTAGCGTATTTTACGGTAATGAGATAATAATTATTTTTTTCATTATTTATTAATACAGCAATATAAATACATCCCATCTATCACTTTTTGATAAGATGATTGTAGCCAGTCGATTTGAAATCAGGGCAGATATTTTTAGTATCTTATTCGCTACTATTTTTAAATGAAATAGCTATCAGTATCCAGCCTGATTGAAGTTGGAGTAGATGTTGAAAAAATAAATAAAGTCTATTTATATCAAGGGGGTTTTTTGTGTTAGGTAAAATAACTATATATAAAAACTAAAGTAAAAAATATTACCAGCCCTCAGGGATAATGAAATAAAGTTTATTTTAAATAGATATATTAATCGAATAAATAGATACGTGTATTTATATTTTTAATTGTTGGAGACAGTTACTAAATCTATATCATAATTGTTCCTTTTTATGATTTATCCAATTATATAGAATAATATATTTCTGATACATACTAATTTCAAATTCAGCTTTATACGGATATCTATTGTATTTTTTTATATACTCAGCATATTCCTTATTAAGACGTGTTTTTAATTAATCTAGAGAATTTGGATTTTTTATTTTTTACGGAGTTATGTCTAAAAACTTTTTATCATCTGGAGTATTATCATTTGGTAAGCTATTCCATACAAGTTGTGCATTTGATAACTCTTTTTCTTGGAATTGGTAAAATGCTCTTTATATAATTCTTGCGTATCCATCTCGAGATTTAGATTTATCACACTCATGATCTCAATGTTTCTGCATCAAATTATCTGGCTCAATAATTTTGATATACCTTTTTTTAGTAAAATGGAATGATTTCTTTAGTTTTACATTATCAATATGTATAAGTTTCATACAATCTAAACATATTACTACATTGGATTTATAGATTCTAGGCCTGTAGTAATCATGATTCATTAGCTTAGAATTCCCAAATTCACCAAATAAATAATGTACATGATATATATTTCTTTTCTTTTCAGAAACCAACTCTTGTAAAGGAACTCTGACCCAAATAGCCCATTGTCGTGGAGTTTCATTAGATCAAATAACTGATAAAGTATCATATCGTCTTTCAGTCTTATAAAGATCATCAAAGTATCATTGATAATTATTAATTCCACAATAATTGTAGATATATGACTTTACATATTTTATATCATATCCAGGACGATTATTAATGAGCTTAATTAATTTAGCTTTTTTATCAATAATAGTTATAATAATAAGACCTGATATAATTAGTGATTTATATCAAATTTAGGATATTGATTTAGCCTTGCTAGTTTCACTAATAACTTTATACTCTAGAATAATGCAATTCAATTTTAGTACTGATACTCGAAGAGCGTCTGGATTATTAGATGAGTTGTGATATTCATCATATTTGCGAGTGACATATACGATGAGGCCAATCAAAAATTTTGATTTATTTTTACATGCGATTAGGCAGGTTAACTGTTAGATAACAGATAACTGACAATAATTAATGAATTGATAGGTGTTAGTTCATTTTGATAATACACGTTTCATATAGATGTATGAGTTAAATAGCGGTAAAGCTTATAAAAAATTGGATTATTTAATAACTTTATTAATATATAAATTTGGACGTGATATCAATATCACTGGTGCAGTAATGTGACGCAGTAATAATTATATTCTATCACATGTAATTGAAGTTTAAAAATTTCTTGGTGAAAGTATGTAAATTTTTTTACAGAGTCCTGTAATTTGTCAGACTCGAATTTTTGAACATATCCGTATCTTGTATAAAATAATGGAAGACACTCAATCTATAATTAAGACATTAAGAGAATTAAATTCTGATTTCGTTTATTAGATCGCTGAACTTAGAAAGAAATTTGCTGAGATCGAGGCTGAGAATATTGAGATTAAAGCTGAGAATGCAAAGTTAAGACAGGATATAGAAGAGTATGAGATTAGATTTGCAAAATTAGAGCAGAATGATAAAGAAAAAACTGACCTTATTGCTAAACTAGATGATGATATCAAGGAAATCAAGGAGCAGAATTTGCAAGACAAGGGTATGGAGTATCATCGAACTGTTACTAATATTTTATCACATATTGATGTGAGCCAGCTAAAGTTTGAGAACCAACCTAATGAAGAGGAAGTTATTACTCTCAATCCTATGCCCGAAATGGAATATAGCTCAATCCAATTTGAGAAATCAAAGATTCAAGGCTTTGCCTCATCACGAATAACCTTTCCATCTATCGAAAACCACTCCAATAAAGAAACTTCAATACATTATGAAATAAATGATTCTGATATATATCAAACTATTTGCACAGAGCCTGTTACAGAGCAACGCCATTACCATGGCAAATTATTGGAAGATATAGAGATTGATAAATTCCTAGATTCAGAGGATAAGAAAAGAATTAGTAATATAATGAGAGAGAGAAATCGGGAAAAAAAACTTTAATGCAAATCACCTAGCCAGGAGGCATACTCGATTTCCCAGAATACTGCGTCTACTACTTTCCATGAGCAGAAAAACAAACAGAACTTGATTCAAGAAATGATTTTATCTAAAGAAGAAAAGCATGTGACTGAAATTTCAGCGAACTATTTTGATGAAAAGTTCACTAAAAATCATGTGACCAATAATTTATTTCAGACAAGTAATAAGAAAGATCATGTTATTTTATTTTTCGTATCAAAAAACAAAATATTACTAAATTTGACCAGTTTGTATCAGAAAGCTTGTGATGTTGAAAAGTAGGTGATTAAAGTTAATCAAGATGAAATTACATGCTGGTATTATTATATTATAGAATTTGATAACCAGGTTAGAGATCTTATGAAATCCGACAATATTGGAGAGAAGAAATCAAAAGGGCAGATTTATGATTTTATTATTGCACAATTAAATGCCAAGCGTAAAACTTTACAAAAGCAAACTCAGAAAGCCAGAAAGGTTTATAGTTTATTCGAGAAAATAGGAATGGATAAGATTCAATACATCAAAACATATAGTGCGGATACTATTTCAAAATTTACTAATTCTCAGATTCAAACAATTATAGATCACTTCACCAAAGAGCCTGATATAGAATTCACCGATGAACAGAATAATTCTTCAGATGATTTATCCGAAACTGAGGTAAGTATACCTACTGAATCGATTCTTTTAGATTCACCCCAAGAAAACGATAAAGATTCAGAATTACTAGAAGTTGGGGTAAGTGCGTCATCTTCAGATATCAAGAAAACTTTACCGGAATTTGAGATAAGTAATACATCTACTCTTTCTAATTTAGATACAGTTCCAGAGGAATCAACCGAGATACAGGCAAGTGTGTTTTATGAGGACGTTAATGATAATGAGGATAATTATAGGAATTTCTCTGATGATGGGAGCTTCTGTGGTTTTTCTGATGATGATGATGAAGGTTATTATTATGATTTAAATACTGGCGAAACTTATACAAAATCGAACCGTTCAATCTATGCCTATTAGATACAGAATTCCTTGCTTTATAGACAATAGATATTTATAAACGATGCATTTATACCGATGTATCCGGAATCTGTGTGCCTATATATTTTATTGTTACAATAAAGCGAATTTTTTTTATGATCCTTTAGGGTCGCCTCTTCGGGCCTGCACGTCGCATCGATGTTTTTGATTAAAATATTGCCCGTAGAAATTCCATATCTGACACATGAACGGTGTATTACAAGCATATTAATTTTCCAGTGATAGGAATGTACGACACTCACCATTTAAGATCGCCCGGTCCGAGATATGCAAATCCAAGGCATACGTATTCAGTCTCACAGAGTGAGGATGCTATCGCATCTAATTATACTACTTTTATGTGGAAAAGTAAATGAATGACTGTCAGGTAGGTATGTATTTATATTACGATTGAAAATATACCAATAACGATTTATATGTAATACACGATGCACTTTCTGTGAAAGATATGTTATACGCATTCATTACCGAACATAGACTAAGGCTAAAAAATACAAATCCCAAATATGGGTAGACTTTATTTAATTATCAAAAAAGTGCCAAACTTCGAGACCATGTCTACTCAGTCACGGTCGAGTTATATCATCATCACGTGGCACAACATTTTTATCCGGAATTCTAAGTTTGCCTAGTATTTTTCCTAACCTGTAATGCTACATATTTGATATTTTCCGAACTTAAATTTGAAATCGATGGTGCAGTAAACGTTTTTATTCGTTGGATATATGTCATCCTTTGAACTTTGTCTCCACCAATACGAAAAAAAAGATCATAGATTTTTCTGGCTCTTTCTGTTTTCTTTCTGAGTGCATTCTTGGAAACTTCCTTTGGGAGCTGATCTCGAACCTCATCGTTGACCTTCTTCTGAGCCTCATGTTCTTCCATAGATTGTTTATAATCGGAAAGGCGTTTTTCCAGTTCCTCTCCAAAGATAATTCGATTTCATCAAGTTAATTTAGGACTGCGAATTTTTATTATTTATTAATCTTCCAGGCTTTGTGATCTAAATTTAAAAAGTAAATATGATGGTAAATAACAGACATCATAATGGAAGTTTGGTTACCTGTAGCAACTGCTTCAAACTTACTAGTTTCCAACCTCGGACGCATCAAAAACAAAAATGGTATGATATTTAAGCGAAGTCCCTCTAAAAGAAGTGGTTATATACGAACGGGGTTAAAAATTAATAATGTTTATAAAACTATCGCCGTTCATATTTTAACATTTATCCCTAACCCAGAGAATAAGCCCATGTTAATCATATCAATGACATCAAACACGATAATCGGGCTGATAATTTGGAATGGGTAACTCCCAAAGAAAGTGCCGAACGTAGGGTATTTCCAAATCACAGCCGTATCGGATCCAGAAAAATTGTGCAGAAAACGTTAAACGGAAATGTTGTTCAGGTTTGGGATTCTATTCACCTCGCCAGTAGTACACTCAAAATTTCAGAATGTTGTAGTGGGAAGCAAAAAACTTCTGGTGTCTGGCGTTGGATGTATTATGAAGATTACATAGAACTAGATCTAAATGAAGAATGGAGAGAAATAGAGCTCAATTCACGAAAATTCAGAGTTTCATCTCTCGGAAGAGTTCAGTTATCAAATGGTGAAATAACCCAAGGTTCATTGCATATAGGTTATCGAAAAATCGCTCGAGAAGGATATCTTGTTCGTCGCTTGATAGCATTTTGTTACAAAGAAGGAAAAGAATATGTAAATCATATTGACGAGAATCCTACACAGAAAGAAAACACCCAACATGCCTGTACGTCTTGGGCTTCGTAACTTCAAGGATAGTAACGTCCTATAAGGCAGAAGTTTGCATAATTGCAATAGGAGTCATATCAGCCAGTTGCGAGACGTACTCATCACCCGCCAGACGTACTATTGGGCTAGCAAAAGGCCAGGATATTTTCTCCATTCTCGTACATCCACCGAGACGTACTCATCACCCGCCAGACGTACTATTGGGCTAGGTGGAGACAAGAAGTTTATGCATCATGCTAAACAGTGCGAAAACCTGACAAGATAGGAGAATAAAAAAACTGATCACGGAGTTTTATATGTCATGTTGTCACGTGATAAACGCGTAATGTAAAATAAATCTTATCTTATAAACATTTAGAACATTTAGAAATCGACTTCAATATGGATTGGGTACCCCCAGAGCTTCTTAAGGACATTGTTGACAATTATTTCTTCGCAAATATGTGGCACGACTGGACCCTTGTTGGATTTCTTGAGACTAAGAGAAGTCAAATCCTGGCTGGCCTTCAAAAGACAAATGTACATCATTCATATAAGAAAGGATTACAATTGATTTTGGATGCAGAACCGCCCGAAGACGTTTCCTTCGTCATCATGAAACAACTAACACAAAAAATAACGGAAAGTGAAGAAGTCAAAATGTTCTGGAAAGCAATAACTGTTAAGAAGAAATATAGGGAACAGTTAACTAATATCAAAGCCAGTGCTTCATTCGAAAGTGTAAGTCTGTGTGCTTTGCATATGTTTTGCCGATTATATTGCATTAATTTAGAAACATTTCCTTTTAGGATGTTCTCAATGTTCGTGGGAAAAGATTTGCTGAAGAAATTGATGATGTGGTCCAACGAGATGTAAAGAGAGTAGAACTTGGAAATGACATTGAAAATATTAGCACACCCACAAGAATTAAATTTAATGCTCAAAGCGAAGAAGTAGAAAATGGAGAATACGAAAAAGTGGAGATTGACAAGGAACAAATAATATTTTGGACAAGCAACAATGAACAAACTAACAACCAAACAAAACAAAAGTTAGAATTATTCTCAACTTCTCATAAACCAATTCTTACACCACATAAGTTTAATATGATATCTTCTAAAGTTATTCCGGGGTTTAAATCCCTTAAAAATATTATTAATATAAGATATCCTGAGATAGTAAACGAGATCGAAACTTATGAGAAAGAACAGAAAAGGCTAACTAGCCTAGGAACAACTCTTAAGGTATGGTTGCAAAAAACTTTATCATCAACCACTTCAGAGGAGTTACATAAATACCTTATAGAACAATTGCAAGGCAAAAATATCACAGACCGAGACAAGAAATTACATGAAATATTTGAGTTAACATTAAAGGAATTTTATTTAATGGTTAAATATAATCCAAACCATGCTCTTGTAAGACATAATTCAGAGAGAAAATTTCTCGTTGAAAGGGTGTCAACACCTTTTAAACTCGTCGAATATGTGTTTGGAACCATTATGACATACTGGATTGAAAAAGAAATAATGTCAACAAAGGCAACAGAGTTCGTAGATAATCCAGTTGATGAGCCAATATCCAAAAAAGCTGATGCACTGGTCACAGATCTTGCATATAATATAGACGTGATGAATATGGAATCATCAGGAGGTTCCTTTCAACAAGATAGAAAACATACTCTCGAGAATTCGGAAAAGATATCCAATACTGGAGTAAACATTCTTCTCACAAGTCTCCGAAAGTATCTTGGTGCTAGTGTTGAGACCGCCAAGAAACTTAAAGCATTCAATATTCAAATCGTTAGTATGCAAATTATTTTTCATATTATATACAGTCAATTTCATAAGTAACTGACCCCTATTTTCTCATCACACAATATAATAAAGAAAAAAATTCTTTTTTTATTTAAAAATATATGATTAATCCTGATCACTAATACAGAGTATAATCACCATGGGATTCAATTAACGCCATCACACGATTTTTCATACTGTCAACTAATTTTGTCGCTAAATCATTAGGTAAATGGTTCCATTCTTTAATCAATTCACTCTTTAAATCCTTAAGAGTTCTAATTTTTTTTTTGCAATATTTATTTTCATAATCCCCCAGATATTTTCAATTGGATTTTGGTCAGGTAACATCGATGGTCAAGAAAGAACTTGTACATCATTTTCCTTCTTCCATTTATTTACAAGTTTTGAACGGTGTTTAGGATCGTTATCCTCCTACAAAATCCAATCTACACAATCCTCACCAAAAAGTATTTCAACGGAAGGCAGAAGACCCTTCTCATAAAGTATAACCATAAAATCAGCATTTAGATTCCTCTGGAAACAAACTAACTTCCCAAAGCCTGAAGTTGAAAAACACCCCCATACATGGACTTTTAATGGATGCTTTACAGAACGGAATACTTTTCTTCCACTAGGAAACGTCCATACCTTTCTTCCTTGTTGATTTAGTTGAAAGGTGCTTTCATCTGAAAAAATTACTTGATTCCAATCAAAATTCTTATGATTTTTCGCCCATTGTAGTCGGAATTTTTTATATTTATCGGTGAGTAAGGGTTTGAAAAGTTGATTCATATATTTGGCCCCAGCTTCATGTAAATGTCACCAAATTGTAGGTACACTTATATTAACATTATCCTTTATCATTTTCTGTTGTATTTCGAGAGTAGTTATGGTAGTTTCTTTTTTTGCAAGCTTCTTAATTTTTTTATCTTGTTTTAGAGTTGTAATTTGTTTCCACCCCGATTTTGGTACATCACTTAGGTCCTTTGTTTTATTCCACTTTTTGAGTACATTACTTACTGTACCTTTAGCACAACCAATATACTTTGCTGTCGCTTGAAGTCCAAGCTTTGGATCTTCGGGATGAGTATGTAAAAAAATGATTTCATAACGTTTATGTAAAGGAAGAGACATTTTTTTAACATAGAAGTTTATTGATGATCTATGACATATGTAGATTATATATCAACCTACAAAAGACATCATGATCAGCGTTTGTAATGTTCTTTGTGTTCAGAAAATTTCATAACATTACACATGATTTTTAGAAAGTTATGGGGGATCAGTTACTTATGAAATTGACTGTAACGATCGTTATAGTTATAAAATTTTTTGGCCGTGATTTACTAATTATATGTAAGCCCCTGAGTTTATTTTCTGAATAATATATTCTGGAAACAATTATAAATGCAAACTGCATGTTAGTCATATGGTATTGACAAATTACATTTAGAGAGGGAGACTGCAAAAAATTTAAACTTTACATGTACAACTAATTATTTTGTATCAAATGTTATAATAGCATTTACATGTAAAACAGAAACTAAAGAGGTTACCGTAAAATATTCTGATTCTACTCATAATTGGGGGAGTAACCTTACAAAAGGTCATTCAGGTATATCGATTTTATGTTGTACATTTTATAAATGGTGGAAAGCATGAATGAATACAAATTTCTCGATAAAGGAAGTGTTTATGCTTTCCTTGTTCACATTTTAGCTTTGCTTAAATAAAAAAATAGAACTCAAAAATTGACGTCTTTGAATTTTACTAATAGAGTGTGACGACTAACTGTTCTCGAATAATAATGTTGACCAATTGTTGAGAATACTAATTGGAAAAACTTTGAATCATATTATATCTGACTGTGAAATTTCCAATAACATTGAAAAAATTTTTAAGTTGGTACGAGGATTCCACAAAAATAGAATTTCTCATTCTTAGTAAATTAATATAGGGACCCCATAACCCCAACAAAATAATTGAAACTTATCGAAATACATGTAAAAAAAGTTTGAAAGTCGCATATATTGGGAAGATTTTATACGCCATTACCAATAGCATTTCCCAAGAGATTACACCAAACATAAATGTGATGTGGTAGCCAATAATAAACTTTGTCATGCAAGATTGAAATTAAAAGTATGACATATATGTTCAATTTTTCGCAAAAAAAAAATAGTTTCATTTCATATGCATATACAGTATGCACATATACATGTACAGTAGCACTCAAAAGTAATGGATTGTGAAACGTTTTGCGAAGAAAAATTCTAGCGCTTCTATACAAGAACCTAGAGAATTTTCAAAAGATATATCAGGCTCCTCTAAATACATAGCGCTGTGAATTCTGATAATACAGTCAAATTTCGATATACATTAAACTATATAACGAAAAATCATTTCAGTTAAAATTAGATCTGATAAATAAATCACATGTTAAAAAAGAATTTTATAATAAATCTTGATAGATTGTATAGTAAATGAAAGTTCTACTTTAAATAAATTCATCTTGATATATCAAATTTCTTAATATAATGAAAATTAAACTTGATATAATAAAATTTATATATTAATAAGATATATGAGATTTTTTTTCAGTTCAGTTTAGTTAATAGTTTATTTCATTATTTTAAATATATTTATCAAATATTAACTTGTATAAATAAAATTAATATAATAGATTTTTAATAAATATTAAAATCTAGTTTTTTTATCAATATGATCTAGTACAAAAAAGATTTATATCTTATATAAATATTATTTTTTTAAAATAAAATTTTAATTTTGTCTTATTTAATTAAGTTATTAGATATTAGAATTTATTTAAATATAAAAATTTTTATTATATATCTTTAAAAAAGTTATTATTAGTTATTAGTAAAATTTTTTATAAAAGTATTATTTCTTTATTATATAAAATTTATTAAAATTAATAATATTATTATATTATATTAGCAGTAATTAATACTAGTAATTATTAAACTAAAGCATATGATTTAATAAAATTAATATATAGTTTTGTAATTATAATATAATTTAAGAAGTATTTTAATTAAATAAAATATATTATATATTAATTAATTAATTTAAATTTATTAATTTTATTACTATAAATATATTATATATTAGTTAAATCTTTTATTTTTATCTTTGAAAAATAAAATTTTTTGAATAAAAATAATATATATTTATTTTTTTCTAATTTTTTACTAAATTTAAAATTAATTGATAATAATTTTCTCTTTTATTAGATATATTTATATATTATATCCTTTTTTATTATAAATTTTATATATTTACTTATTACTAGATTTATCATTTATTAATTTATTTAATCTATTATCTTATAATATTTTTAAAGTATTTTATATAGTATATAATTTCTCATAACTTTTATTATCAATAATATTTTTTTTGTTATTTTAATTAAATCCAAGTATATTTCTTTTTTTAATCTTTATAATTTATATTTATATAATTAAAATCTTTAAACTTTTAATTTTTTATCTTAATACTAATAAAATTATTAATAATAATATTATTATTTTTAACTTGATTATAATTTTGTTTCTATTTTCTTAACTAATTTTAAATAAATTTTATAAAGCTTCTCATTTTTCTTATTATAATAATTAAATTAAATATTTTTCTATAATTTCAAATTCTTATTCATATTATTACTTTTGAATTATTTCTTTACAAATCTCTTTAATAAAGAAATAGTTATTTTAAATAGTATTTAGATATAAAAATTAACTTTAATAATATATTTAATTATATTAAATTTCTAATTTAAAGTTATTAAAATAGCTAATTTATAATAAAAACTTAAATTTCTATTTATAACTGATAAATTTATATATTAATATTATAATACAAGTTTAATATAAAATTTAATAGCTAAAAAAATTAATATTACTATAAAAAAATAATAATTATACAAGATAATTATTTAATTTATTTAATATTAATATATAAAAATATATTATATTATTATATAATATTATGAAATATTTACTTTTTTTATTAATAAAATATATATTAAAATTCATAAATTCAAGATTTATAATTAATTAATTAAGTTTAATTATATAGATATTAAATAAATTCTTTAAAAATATATCTTCTAATAAATCTAATATAACTTATTAAGAATTAAAAAATAATATTTAATAGAAAAAATAAAAAAAGATTTAATAAATAAATAATTATAAAATTTATATTTATTTTTAAGCTTATTCTTCAAATTAGTTAACTAATATTTATAATATATGCTATAATTTATTTCATAATATTACAACTTAAAAATTATTAATATTAATAGAATTTATTAATATTTTTAAAGTAATAATTATAATAGTTCTTATCTTAACTTATAAAAAGCTTACTTATAATCTTATTTAATTTAATAAATTAACTTTTTTTATTAATAATTTTTTAATTACAAATTCAAATTTTATAAGAGAAAAAGTTTTATTATATAATTTTTAATAATTTTATTATATAATTGATATATTAAACACTTTATATACTTATATTAAATATATAATATACCAAATATAGAATTTAGAATTTCTAATAATAGTAAAGCTAATATTATTATCATAGTAATATAAAATTTCTTAATTCCTTAATCTTTTTCTAGTTATGCAAAATTATATTTTTATTATAATTTTCATTATTTTATAAATATTTCTATTTTTACATTATATATTATTATATTTATTATCATATTTCTATTTTTAAATATTATATTTTATCTTATATTTGAGATCTATATTTTATTATTATTTGT